TTTCCATCATTTTCTGTAGCCTTTCTTTTTTTTTTTGCTCTGCATTTATTTACATTTCAAGGCAGCGAGCAGAACTGTATCACACAAATATAGTGTAATGTCACACGATCTCAGCATTGCATGTTCTGCTTTGTTTTCGTTTAGTGTTTCTTCCTTCAAGCAGGACAAAACCTTGCTGTCATCTGGCATCATGAACATGAGGAACACAAACAGAAATGTATTATGTAAGCAGTCACAAATCTGTCACAAATCTTATTTTCCGGTATTTCTCTACTAGTAGTGACCTAAGAATTCATTACAGTTATCCTGATGGTATACAGTAGGAGAGTGTGGTATGGATTTTTTAACAGGACAGATCCCTTTAATCGGGTGACATCTATCAATTCAGCCTCCTCTTTAGAGCAATCTTCATTCTGGCAGAAAGATTTACGTTACCTGATCTTACTGATCCTGATGTCAGTGGGGCCCCCCGGGAAGCATGGCACAACTCAGACTGAACTAAAAGATGGATTGATTGTATTTTGCAAGGCTGCATCTTGCCAAAACTTTATGTGAAACCATCATTTTATCTTCTCATTTGTATATGTCTGTTCTTTTATATGAAACCACCAGTTTTATCTTAGATTCGGACATCCGGATCTTCCACAGATAAATCACAGCGGCAGTACAAACTGCATAATGCGCTTTATTTATTTTTCTTACCTGAGACTGTGCTTGAAGAGTTCGTTTCAGTTCGTCGCTCTCTGAAAAGGGCATGGAGCTTTTGTCACAGGCTACCTTGTGTAGCTCTTCAAAGCATGTTGCAGATTTGCTGTGGCAAACTGCATGTAAGTAGGCAGGATTTTTCAAGCCACTCATGGCACATTCGTAAAAAGTCCCATTGAGCAAAGCCACAGAAAGCCACATCACTGGGGCTACCAGAGCGTTTAAAGTGATTTGTCCAAAGACATAAAAGAAACGGCAGATATTCCCCCTGGGGAATATTTTTCTGGGATTCACCCAGCAGCCTGTAAAGAGTTTCCAGGTCTTGCTGTTCAAGAAGTATCCAATAACCAGCAAAACAAAAGCTGGAGAGAAGAGAAATACCAAGCCATACCTGAAGTTTTCATCGCTGCAGGGGCATCTGAAAGCAACAAGAGAAAATACGCGTTCACCTCCCATTGTCAGCAGCGCCATGAAACTGTACCCTATAGCGGTTTTCCGGTTCATAAAGAATTTCAGGATTGTTTGGAAACCATCCATGTTCGATACTCACTAAAGAGGTAAAAACCAAGAGGCTTTTATCTTCGGCCACAGCAGCCTTGGCGGTGTAGCTGGGGAGAGCTCCCCAGGAGGAGACCAGCCTGCTGCTAGCCTGCCTGCATACGCACTGCCTAGATAACGCCGTGATGTCAGTGTCTGGAGAAACGCGCTCACAGGGGACCCCTCCACTAGCAGAGCAGATGTTGCACATTTACGGTAATGCTCAGCAGCAGCGGAAGGAAAGCAAGCAGTGCTCTCTATAATCAAATCAGTTTGCAGTCTTGGCAGTCTTATTCTTGGTGGGTGGTTGGTTTTTTTTGTGACTGCAGATGGAGTTCAGAGTAAAAACACACACTCACCAGTCGCAGGGGTTCTTGAGCTGCAATTATCAACGTGGCTGGCAATGTAGTGAAGGACCTAATACAGATGCTGATGGTCCCAGGGGAGTGTGACCTGACTGACAGCAGATGAGTGGTCACAGTAAAACCACTTCGTATGGGATCGTGAATGTAGGGACATCAAAGACAGAATAAGCAGCCTTCTGCTGAGCTTCCCTGGAGCATCAGGTAGCTCCAGATTCACGTCTCTGGCTCAATCTGATCACAGAAGAGACAAATCCAGTTTAAATTCCAGCATGCCTAGCCCTTCCCCCTGTTTTCCTGGGGTAAAGCTGGTCTGCAGGATGCTGCATCCTTAGTTTAACTTCTGTTTTGCACACTACAGATTCAAGCAACAGGGTTTTTTGCAGGTTGCTTTCAAGATGTACCTTGGGGTCACACCCAGTGTGAGCTGCTGTAGTGCCGCGGGAAATGAGTTCTCCTTAATCCTGGACAAAAACCCACTAGTGGACTTCGTGGAGGAGCTGCCAGCAGAACGAGCATCACTTTGCTACTGTAATCTCCTCTGCGGGGTGATTAGAGGTGCCTTGGAAATGGTAAGGAAGTGCACATCTGTTTTCTACATTCTTTGTTAATACGTGGGGGCACAGGAAAGCAAAACCAGCTAAATGAAAGAAATTTAGCAGTGTTTAATCCCACTCTCAGATTAAATGTCTGTATCTAAATGAAAGAGGGTTGGACTGATCCTGCATCCTGAGGTAGAGAAGCACACAGGTTGGCTTGCCTCCACGCTGTCCCTGCTTGGCCCTTCAGTGGCTGACTCAGGTGCAAAAGCCGGGTGGGACCTGGGAGCCAGCTAACATGGAATATGAAGAGCCAGGGGAGCATGCTGGAGTCCCCCTGCTGCTCTTTCAGCTGTCTTCCTTCCCTGCATAGGTGCAGCCTGTAATAGCCATCCCTAATTCTTTCCAAATACATGAAGATAAATAATATTCTCAGGTTACTGCAGCGCCTGCTAAAAGGGAGAACAAAGTGTGGACGAATATAATGTTAAGACCAAAGCATCAGAAATTTATCAGATGACATTTCAATTTCTGTTTTAAATGTAAGACTTTTACAAAAGAATAGACAAAGGGCACCATTTGAAAGTCATTGAGTTGTACAGCTTCTGTGGCGTTTTCTGGAAGATAATTTCTGGGCTGCTTTGTGTTTCTGTCAGTATCAAATTTGTCATATAGCATATGGTTCAAGAAAACAAAAGCTGTACAAGTATTATGTATGTACGTCAGTCTCAGAATTCTAATATCTGATGTAAGACTAATTAACGACAGTATTATATCGTAAGTATTAGTACATAACCAGGAAATTTTGTCATCACGGTATCATCAAATTCATCATAAGTGCTCGAAAGAAAGCAAAGCACTGGAAGGAATGATATCATCAAATACATCATAGGTGTTTGAAAGAAAGCAAAGCACTGGAAGGAAGGGTGATGTATTATACAAATTCCAGTGTATATAAACCTCCTTTTTATTAACTTAGTTGTGAAAGAGATTTTAAAACCATCTAGAAATCTGTTTCCTATGAAACCTGAGAAAGGGGATTCCCTTGTGGTACGAGAGAGATAAAAAACTGGTTATGCTGGAGGAGAGGGGGGAAAATGGGCATTTCTTTGCTTAACTGATCAGACACAATTTTTTCTAGGTTCACTTAGCAGCAGAAGTTACCTTCGTCCAGGACAGGCTGAAGGGCGACGCTGTGACAGAAATAGGAATTACATTTTTAAGGAAGGCTGAAGACAGAAAGCACAAAAGAAGTAAATGAAAGAAATATTGGGAGAAACCCTTGCTGGGAGATATTTTGTGCTTTTTGTTCCTGAGGAAGACATGCAGGGTAAAACTGGTTTCTCTGAGTCAGCTGCACCAGTCATACATTTGAAAGGTGAAGAGGACTGGGCAGCAAACAGGAGGGGCAGAGCAAGGGGAGAGCAATGTTAATCATCAGGACACAGCTAACAGTATAAAAGATGAAAATGGCCTGCCCTTCCTTCTCACATAACCATGCTCTTGAGCTCAATGGAGGTTTTATATCAGTATTTAGTGCCTGCTGGATGCAAAATACTCATTTGGACACCAACAATTTTCAGCTAAATGTGACCACCTTGTCCCACTTTGTTTGTTGGCAGTGTTTAAAAGCATGGTTGCTAGGAGGTGCTTTATTTCCCTGGCTGTCTGTGGTTAGGAATAATGAATCCATTTGCCGTGACTGCTGTATGCAGTGTTTCACTGTCTGGTTTAGTAGTTTGCCACCCATTGTCCCCCAAACAGGACATCCTGCTCCTTTAGAAACCGGAGAGGGATGCGGCTTTACTGGTGGCAGGAGCCAGTTCCTTATGACTCTTTCAGGCCCCAAATGCAGATTTGCTGGCATGGCTCTTCAGCTTCTGGCTGCAGCACTCTGATGACCGCAGCAATGCTTGTGTTGCTTCAAGCTATGGGCCTTTTCATGTCAGTCTTCGCTTCAAGAGCACCGATCTTAACAACCAAACCGAACAAAGCATGGTGTGTTTAATGTATAGTCACTGTGGATCTGTACTTCACTTAAGGAAACTTCAATAAAACTTCAGAGGTTGCCACACAGCCAGTTTGCTCGTCATTGTGTCTGTTCTTACCTGATCTTCGTCACCAGCCACTGAACATCTGCTGCTTGGCCATGGACTTTTGTTACCGCAACATGACTTTGAAGTTGAGAAACAGCAGCCTTGCAGAGACCTGGGTTATAGGAAAGGTTTCATGTTGTCCAGTGTAATGCAAAATACCTGGGTAAGGGTTGGACAAAACCCCAGGTCCCAAGCCCCAGCGCAGTACCCTACACACAAACCCAGTTCACCTTCTTCTCGCCAAAGTGCTTGCTTGAAATGGAAATACAAACCCTCAGTTCAGATCAGTGAAGCCCAGGATTACCTCTGAATTTATCACTGTAATTTGTACCCTTATCTCCCAGTTTTCCCCCGATCTGTTTATCTCAATCTTGCTAAGTGAGGGGCACCTCTTACCTCAGGGACAGCAGGGTTCACTCCCATGAGAGCTGAGTAATCCTCACGATAATCTTTCTCTCTTTGTTTGTCTTAACAGTGATGTACAGTGGTGGCATAGTGTAATGGAGCTTTAAGAGAACAATTTTGTACAGAACAAGAACTAAGCTATTCATTACCCAGCCTTGGGCTCAGCCCAGCATGCTGTCACCTGCCCTGATAATGAGTTACAACATGTAATAATGAGTTACAACCAGTAACAAGCTCCCCTACTCACTGTTTATTTTAATGGAGGCTGGAAGCCCTGATTTCACTGTCTGCACAGGAGCCCTTGGAGGGGTTTTTGCTGGTTAAGCCCAGCTAGCTGAGATGGACATGTGGCGACTTTGGCTGGCCACAAAATGGTTCTTTGCAAGGCAACGGCCATTTTTCCTTTTTCCAGCAACATCCTATCAACTAAATATTCTCCTCTTATTATCCTGAAAGTGAATAACCTATACTGTCCCTTTGTGAGGCAGGATTCTGTTATTTAAACTTGTGCTGCATTGGACTGGCACACGGGTGTGTGTGCATGCACACACCTACGATACCATTTTCCGTCGAGGTCTGCACAAGCTAAAAAGCACCAGTCACCACACTGGAGTGACAGCAGTCTGACTCCTGTGTATTCAGGGCCTGTTAAAGACTTTTTGCCTACAGTCATTAGCTAGCAAAGCCAGAGCTGGATATTACAGCATTTTTAAAGCAAGGACCATTAGTGTCATCCTGGGGTCTTTGCAGTCTTGCCAAATTGGCTTGGGCGTGGCCAAGGCTTCCTTCCCTTCCTCCAATACCAAATGTACAGTGACGCTCCATGTAGGACATCAAAGCTGTTTCTTTGGGTTTCAGTGTTTCAGAATAAATAGCCTGAGAAAGTCTTTATTTCTGCTTGGACGTGGCAAGTTTTGAAGGAGAAGTTTCCACCGTGTAAATGAACATATAGCAGAAATGACTGAGCCAGTCAAGGCAGCACAGGGTTGAGATCAGGCCAAGAGGTGACCTGAGCCTGCCAGGCTAGGCTGGGTGCTAGTCCATACCCATATCACGTCATATCAGGCCTGTGCATCCGGCTGTGCACCAATCGCTCCCCTCAGCTCAGCTCTGGGCTGGGCAGACATGCTCAATGCACGCTTGTTTTGCTGTCAGTGTTTTTTGTATTTTCTTCCTACACTGGATCACCCTGTATTTTTAAAGACGGAGTAAATAAATGTTAGGTAGAAAACCAGTAATAACAGGAAAAATAGTGACCCACACAATGTTACCAATAGTTGCTGACTTTAGCTACCCTATGCACACACAGGTTTTTGCTGTCTCGCTCGGTAGCATATTCACAGAAGGGTTCCTCAGTGTTTCATTTTGGTGTAGGCCCTTCTTTCGAAGGTGGCTAATGGAGCTCTCACAGGCATGCTGAAGCTTCTCTTTGAAACGTCTTTTGTTATAAATGTCATCACATACAGAATATACAAGTGTTACATAAAGGTGAGGAAAAATCAACATTCAAACATGTCTGCATACAAAAGTAATATATAAATATCATCTTCTATCCTTATACATAGATACACATCTTTTCCTTCCCCCTTATACATAGATACACATCTTTTCCTTCCCCCTAAAGTCACTTTATCTGTGACAGACTGCCACCATTGCCAGAAAACTTCAACATATGTATTGTGGTCCCCTTTGGACCTTTCGCTCGTTGATTCTAATTAGAAGTGCCGGCTCGGTGTCTTCCCTGGAAAGCCAAGGCAGCTTTGGTAATGAGGCCCTGGCAGTTGCAACTGCGAGTGGGAAGTGGCAAAAAGCCTACCCAAATGCAGCTGACAGGATTAGCACAAATTCTGGGGGTATTTTCACTGCCTCTTCTTGTCAGGAAATGAGAGATAAGGCATGGGTTGTTCCTGCAGGCTTTCAATCTATCCTGAAGTACTTTATTCTATCTTTAAGGTAATACCTGGCCCCATGGCACCAAGGAATGTTTTGGCAGTGATTGTAGTGGGGCCAGGACATTGTTTCCTTCCCCTTTATGACATTCTGGAGTAGATTTAACTTGCTGTAGATGTCAATGAACACACGAACTCTTCAATATGAGAGGTAAAATGGAACATTTTTAACTGAACCATGCTTCCTGGAGGTATGAGTAACAAATGGGACATTTGTTACTCTTTTATCATGAAGTTTCTTGGAAGGAAAAGAGCACTGTGCAAGTCAGTGACTACTTGACAAAATGAATGCTTTTAACATTTTGTTCTACATACAGAATTAAATGTTGTTTTCCCTTTATGTGTTATATTTTCACTTTGTAATAAGAATGAATATTCCAAGCCAGTTACATTCAGCTAGTTAAAGTAAGTTTTTCCCTTCCTTCTTCTTTGGAAAACAACTGTAACAAACAACTTCATGGGATTCCTCTCTGTCTGTCTGAATCATTTCCAACTTAGAGTTTACTGTCTAGAAAGAGAAGATTTCTGGGAGAAGCTAAAGGACAGCCCAGACCAAACAATCTGAGTCACCTCTCTAAAATGCTCTCTATAAAAATATTTCCAGAGAAAAACCTGAACTTCATCGTTCTTCCCTCAAAACTCATATCCTTGTTTATTGTAAATAGATGTTATTTGATAAGAATATTATTGTTTCCTAATTATGGATTGCAGATTTATAATGTCCTTAAGTATGTAGCCATGTTATAGATGTTAATATAAGCTTCACCTATATTGCCATGTTATGCATAAGCCTAACCCCTCAAGGCATACCAATCTGCACTTAGACTCCATTCTGTATCAAGTTAAATAGTGTATTTGGCAAGTACATCCAGGTGTAGGTTAGGTACTGATGCCAGGGTCAAAACCCTAATTAATTGTAATATTGTATATTTCAAAAATACCATGATAAATATGTATTTTTCAGAAGAAAATATAAAGGTAATATAAACAGGAGGTTTACTGTTGGTGTGTTTTTCCTGCAGCATTCAAATGACTTTTTTTTTTTTTCTATTAAAGAGCTTTACAATGACAGAAAATGAACAGAAGCGCTAATTAAGAAAGCCTGCTGGAAAAGGTGATCAAGATCAGGCAGTGCTAAAGAAAATTCACCACCATGGAAGTTTTTAGTTTCACTGTATTTACCTAAAGGTGCTGAACACGAGGTAAATGGCTGGAATATATTTTCTCTTCTGTTCAAACTGATAAGCAGCTGAAGTCATTCCGATGGACTCCTTTGTTATGCACAGGTAGCTTCAAAATGCTAATAGCTTCCCAAATATTAAAAGATAGGGTCCTTGCCTTGAGAAACTGACTGAAAGCAAATATTTTAGCCTAGAGCTTGCTCTAAGATCCACTGGGATACATACTGTCCAGTGAGAACCAATAAACTAAGCTGAATTTCTGATCAAAACTTCCATTCCTTTTTGTCTCTTGGATATTGCCAGGTCCGAAGGTTTGGTGTTGCTACTCCAGCTGCCATATGCCCTTAAGGTGTTTGGTAATAACTTGATGTAGTAGGTGCTATGTGGATGCTGATTATTTTACACATGTGGCTCTTCTTAACAAACAACAACATATGAAAACTCCCATTGTGACAGACGTATTTATTTAAGCGTACTTAAGCAAAAGTAATAAAGTGTATTTAAAACCAAATCTGCTGAGGGCTACAACTATCAGCTTCTACGTACAATACGCACAGACTTCAGTAAGAGCACAGAGTAGGAGTCTTGTGTCAGTAGGGTTAAAAGGCTGCCAGCGTCGCAAAGGATTTGTTTCGTTAAAACCCTGACTCGTTTGCCCTTGCTTCATCCACAAATCTTAAAGCAGAAGGATTGTCATCTCCTTCCCCGAATCTGGCTCTGTTGCCTCCGTTTGTGTGAACGTACTTGTGTATCATGCTGTAAAACTGCTCTTGGGAATCGAAGGTGTACAAGAACGAAATCTTCCGCCAGTCTTCGTTGCTGGGAGTTGGAAACGGTGCTGGATTGGTAGCTTTAAAAAAGCAATCGATATTGACTTCTGCCAGCCTGGTTGCATGCTCTTTCGCCTTGGTCTCAAAGAGCTCCTGTTCCTTTTTCAAGTAAATTTTCCAGAACTTGAGCTGAAGATAGCTAACCGGGGAGTAACAGCGGCTGACACATGTTGCAATCAGTGCCGCAGTCATGATGCCGGCTATCAGGAGCCATCCTAACAGCTTGGAAAACAGACAGACGGGTTAACAGTGGCTTTGCATGGCCACAGGTAGGTGTATAGAACTTAACATTGCAGCAGACATGAAAACTGTAAGCAAAGACACCCTGGAGTGCCTGGAACAGTCTGCTCGCTGCAGAAAGAGGGGGATCCCATGCACACAATTCAGCCAGCTTTACGGAACTTCCATACCCATGAGCTGATCTTGCTGGATCGAGGGTGAATACCACAAAAAGAGAAGGTGGAGAGAAGTTCTTTCCTCAGTTTTACCGAGGTTTCTTGACTTTAAAGGCAAGATACTGGCCAGCAGTGTCTGCAGTTGGGGTCAAATCTACTGTACAGAGGATGAGGATCAGCCTGTCCGCCTCTGGTGCTGTGATCTAGACCTCCTGCTGACTGTGTTTGATCTGCTTCTGGAAAATAACTGCTCTCCCTTCCTGACACCAGAGCCTCCGAAAAATAGCCGGTTGCCACAGCACACAGGAAAAGTTGTCCCCTGTATGTTTGGTAAGCAGGATACGGGTTTGACTATCGAACAAGGGAATTCATTCTTATTTTATACATTATTTTAATACCCCAAGGGAAGTCTCCGAGACCCCACCTAAAGCGGGTGTCCTAGTGGGTGGTGGTCCCCTCAGCACCCAGTGGCACTCAGCTGGAAGCTCCCAGTGGCACAGATCTCACAGCCTCCCCTTTCACCTCAGGCTGATTTTTTTCTTTTTTCAAGTGAAAACCATTGAGTGCTAAATAAAACTGAGTTTTTGTTCTTTTTGTTTCTTAATTTCATTGAAAATAAATCAGATGTTAAAAACAATAGTCAGTAAAAAGTGCTCTCACACTTTTTCTGATTTTCTTTGTCTGGCTTGTTTCATTTAGATTTCATTGCAATATTAGTAACAGTCAGTCACCTTTGATTTTGCTCCTTTCTTACCCTATCTGAATTCAGTGGTACAGAGCTTGCCCCTTTTCAGGCTTTTTCTTGGAGGAGCAGCATGCTAAATATTTAACAAATGCAAACACTTTCTCCTGTTGTTTTAATAAGCATTTGTACTAAACAGGAACTTATAAAAACCCAAGCAATTATATCTTATAAGCTTAACTCCCTTATCCTGCTTTAATGTTTTCCTGAGAAAAAATGATAAAACCTGATTTTTCTACAGGAGTTAAGATGATGACCAAACAAACCTAGAAGCAAAACTGGAGTGCTGCCAAAATCTGAGAGTTTCATTTCGCTCCAAACAAAAAAAATCCACCCACAAGTGCTATTTTTTTGATCATACAGTTTGCCTTCGGCACCAGAGAAAGATAGAGATACATATTATCACTTGAAAGATAGAGATACATATCTTAAGCATCCTTCTAGAATACAAGCATGAAGTTATTAATAGGTTCAAGCTTTCAGATTGGCAGTCAAACAAGCTGCCCTTACTGGTTTCACTTGACAGTTCCCTGTTGCAACGAGACGTCCCGTCAGCTCCTTCTATATTCATGAGCTCAGCTTCCTCTCAGCTAATGCATATTTACCAAAGTTTGAGGTATTTAGCGGGGTGAAAGTGGAAAAAGAGAAAAAAACTTGCACCATGCCCAAGTTAAATGAGAAGCAAAAGAAAACTTGCTGTGGAAAATCCTGGTCTCTAGGTTGGTCCCCTGCCCAGCCTTGAAAGAGCTTTCGCAAATGGCAGTGCCAAACAATTGCTGTGCAAACATGCAAAACCAGAAAAAAGCACAAATTTACACTTAGGACCTTTCTGTTAGCAGTTGGTTTCGTTTGGGGTTTTTTTGCTAATGAATTTTTGGTAATTAATATAGTGTGAGAAAGGAGAACTGTTTACAGACCCCAGCAGGCACCACCACACACAGACATTGAGCAGCCAGGGCTGAAGCCCACAGGGTGAAGGGAAGAGCGATGGGGCTTTACCTGTGACTGTGCCTGAAGGCTGAGGAATTCACTCGATATCGCCTCTGATAACTGCTCGTTACAGGGTATTTTGGCCAGCAGGCTGTGGCACTCCTGCCCTTTATCTTTACACACGAGGTTCTTCAGCAGGCTGTTCCCGCTGGCCGCGCACACGTAGAAGCTGGCCCTGAGCAGGGCCACCGCGATCCAGGTGAGGGGAGCCACCGAGGCTTTGGCAGCCACCAGCAGCAGCAGCCGGCAGTAGCGGGTGAAGGTTCTCCAGGGGATGCGGCTGCAGCCCTTCTCTGGAGGGCAGGTGCCTGTCAGCAGGTGCTGTGCCCTGGTGTTTGCCATGCAGCCGAGCAGAAAGAGGATGAAGGCAGGCACGATGAGGAAGACGGAGCCGTACAGCATGTTCGCAGAATTGCAGGGACACTTGAACAACACAGTCAAGAAGATGTGCTCACTGGCAGCCGTCAGCAGGGATACAAGGCTGTAACCCAGAACGGTCTGGTGATGGAAGCAGAAATCCAGCGCACTGTGTACCTTATCCATTTTCTGCCTCCCCTTACTCTGGGGAGAGTGAAATCTCAGTCAGACAAGGCAAGCGGTCTGAAGCTGCCACAGCTTACAGCAGCTCACAGAGCTCACTTTCACTTTCTGTTGGTGGTGGTGTAGTGAGGCACAGGAGCAGCTATGCTTATTGGAAACAGGAGAGCATGGGCTCACTCAGCGGTGCCAAGTTCAAGTGGAGACCATGGTGGAAAAGCACTCCATTAATCAACATCAAGACAGCAAAGATCTTTGTTTCTATAAAAATAGTACCTATTTGTCCACACATGACTGCCTTGTAGCTAGCAACGGCTTTAAACCTCATCATCTTTACAGTGAAGATTTGGAGTGAGGGTAAAGATTCAAAGCGTGAATAAAATGTGAGAAACCCAGACAGAACTGTGTGGGTTTTTATGCTGCCTTATTATTAGCAATGCAATATGGGTTGTTCTCTTGTGGAAGAAAATACAACTATAATCATGATATTTTTTTCAAGCTAATTGATTAATCTTCTTCTAAGCAGCTAGAGCAATTAGCCAATGCACACACAGCAAGTGGTTTCCACTGAAGCTCTGGCTACTGCAGTGCCACTTTGTTAGGAATCAGACTTTGGACAACCTCTTCCCTACCAGGTAGCAGCAGCTTTAAAGCCCAGAAAAAAACAAACCAAGCCAACAACACAGCTCCCATCCCCCCCATCCCCCC